AAGTCATTTGCTTTCGTGGTCGTATTATGAGGGCTATTGACCGCCCTAGAGGTTTGTCGTATGCCCCCCTGCTTCGTGTTCCTGTGAGTTGGGAGCGGCCTAAAGGTTTATCTTTTGTCCCCTCCCTTCGTCCCTTCGTATTGTAAGGGTTTCGTGAGCGCTCTGGAGGTTTTTCATATGTCCCCTTTGTTCGTGCTTGTAGGGTTGAGGGAGTGTCTACATGATTATCATATATCATTTGCTTCCGCAGTCGCTATGAGGGTATTGATTGCCCTAAAGATTTCTCGTGTGCCCCCCCGCTTCGTATTCCTGTGATTTGGTAGGGGTCTAGAGGTTTGTCGTAATTCCTCTCCCTTCGTTCCTTCGTGGGATGTTTGCGTGTGTCCCCTTTCTTCGTGCTTGTAGGGTTTGGGGAGCCTAGACGACTGATATATATATATATATATATATATAATTCAATTCCGCGCTCGTATTGTGAGGGGCTAGTGATCGCCCTAGAGGTTTGTCGTATGTCCCCCCGATTCCTGTTCCTGAGATTTGGTAGGGGCCTAGAGCTTTGTCGTATGTCCCCTCCTTTCGCCCCTTCGTGTTGTAGGGGTTTTGTTGGGCCTTGAAGGCTTGTCGTGTGTCCCCTTTCTTCGTGCTTGGAGAGTTTGAGGAGCGTCGAGATGACTACCATACATCATTTGCTTCCGTGCTCGTACTATGTGCGGTTAGTGACTGCCCTAGAGGTTTGTCGTGTGTCCCCTTCCTTCGTCCCTTCGCGTTGTATGGGTGGTAAGGGTTTTGTGAGGGCCCTGGAGGCTAGTCGTATATCCACTTTCTTCGAGCTTGTAGGGTTTGGGGGGAGCGTCTAGAGTCTAGATGATCGTCATATATGATTTGCTTCCGTGCTCAAACTATGAGGGGCTAGTGACTGTCATAGAGGTTTGTCATTTGTCCCCCCCGTTTCCTTGGTCCTGTGATTTGGTAGGGGCTTCGAGGTTTGTCATACGTTCCCTCGCTTCGTCCTTTCGTGTTGCAAGGGTTTTGTGAGAGCCCGGCAAATTTGCCGTATGTCCCTTTTCTTCTTGCTTGTAGGGTTTGGGGAGCGTCTAGACGACTGACATATGTAATTTGATTCCGGGCTCGTATTGTGCGGGGTGCCCTAGAGGTTTGTCGTATGCCCTCCGCTTGTTCCTGCGATGTAGTAGGGGCCTACAGGTTTGTCGTGTGTCCCCTTTCTTGGCATCTAGATGATTGTCATAAGACATTTGCTTCTGTGGTCGTATTGTGAGGGCTATTGACTGCCCTAGAGGTTTGTCGTATGCCCCCCTGCTTCGTGTTCCTGTGAGTTGGGAGGGGCCTAGAGGTTTATCTTTTGTCCCCTCCCTTCGTCCCTTCGTGTTGTAAGGGTTTCGTGAGCGCTCTGGAGGTTTTTCGTATGTCCCCTTTGTTCGTGCTTGCAGGCTTTGGGGAGTGTCTAGATGATTATCATATATCATTTGCTTCCGCAGTCGCTATGAGAGTATTGATTGCCCTAAAGATTTCTCGTGTGCCCCCCCGCTTCGTATTCCTATGATTTGGTAGGGGTCTAGAGGTTTGTCGTAATTCCTCTCCCTTCGTTCCTTCGTGGGATGTTTGCGTGTGTCCCCTTTCTTCGTGCTTGTAGGGTTTGGGGAGCCTAGACGACTGATATATATATATATATAATTCGATTCCGCGCTCGTATTGTGAGGCCCTAGAGGTTTGTCGTATGTCCCCCGATTCCTGTTCCTGAGCTTTGGTAGGGGCCTAGAGCTTTGTCGTATGTCCCCTCCTTTCGCCCCTTCGTGTTGTAGGGTTTGTTGGGCCTTGAAGGTTTGTCGTGTGTCCCCTTTCTTCGAGCTTGGAGAATTGAGGAGTGTCGAGATGATTACCATACATCATTTGCTTCCGTGCTCGTACTATGTGGGGTTAGTGACTGCCCTAGAGGTTTGTCGTATGTCCCCTTCCTTCGTCCCTTCGCGTTGTATGGGTGTTAAGGGTTTTGTGAGGGCCCTGGAGGCTAGTCGTATATCCACTTTCTTCGAGCTTGTAGGGTTTGGGGGGAGCGTCTAGAGTCTAGATGATCGTCATATATGATTTGCTTCCGTGCTCAAACTATGAGGGGCTAGTGCTGTCCTAGAGGTTTGTCATTTGTCCCCCCCGTTTCCTTGGTCCTGTGATTTGGTAGGGGCTTAGAGGTTTGTCATACGTTCCCTCGCTTCGTCCTTTCGTGTTGCAAGGGTTTTGTGAGAGCCCTGCAAATTTGCCGTGTGTCCCCTTTCTTCTCACTTGTAGGGTTTGGGGAGCGTCTAGACGACTGACATATAATTTGATTCCGTGCTCGTATTGTGAGGGGCTAGTGATTGCCCTAGAGGTTTGTCGTATGTCCCCCCGATTCCTGTTCCTGAGATTTGGTAGGGGCTTAGAGCTTTGTCGTATGTCCCCTCCTTTCGCCCCTTCGTGTTGTAGGGGTTTTGTTGGGCCTTGAAGGTTTGTCGTGTGTCCCCTTTCTTCGTGCTTGGAGAGTTTGAGGAGCGTCGAGATGATTACCATACATCATTTGCTTCCGTGCTCGTACTATGTGGGGTTACTGACTGCCCTAGAGGTTTGTCGTATGTCCCCTTCCTTCGTCCCTTCGCGTTGTATGGGTGGTAAGGGTTTTGTGAGGGCCCTGGAGGCTAGTCGTATATCCACTTTCTTCGAGCTTGTAGGGTTTGGGGGAGCGTCTAGAGTCTAGATGATCGTCATATATGATTTGCTTCCGTGCTCAAACTATGAGGGGCTAGTGGCTGTCCTAGAGGTTTGTCATTTGTCCCCCCCGTTTCCTTGGTCCTGTGATTTGGTAGGGGCTTAGAGGTTTGTCATACGTTCCCTCGCTTCGTCCTTTCGTGTTGCAAGGGTTTTTGTGAGAGCCCTGCAAATTTGCCGTGTGTCCCCTTTCTTCTCACTTGTAGGGTTTGGGGAGCGTCTAGACGACTGACATATAACTTGAGTCCGTGCTCGTATTGTGAGGGGCTAGTGACTGCCCTAGGGGTTTGTCGTATGCCCCCCCCCCGCTTCCTTGTTCCTGTGATGTAGTAGGGGCCTACAGGTTTGTCGTATGTCCCCTGCCTTCGTCCCTTCGTGTTGTAAGGCTGATAAAATTTTTCTGAGGGCCCTTGGAGATTTGTCGTATGTCCCCACGCTTCGTGTTCCTGAGATTTGGTAGGGGCCAGAGACTTGTCGAATGTCCCCTCCTTTCGTCCCTTCGTGTTGAAATTGCTTTGTTGGGGGAAGGTTTGTCGTATGTCACCTTTCTTTCTTCTTGGAGGGTTTGGGGATCTTCTAGAAAACTGTCATATATCATTTGCTTCCGTGCTCGTATTATGAGGGGCTGGTGTTTGTCATAGAGGTTTGTCGTATGTCCCGCCGCTTTCTGTTCCTGCGATGTGGTAGGGGCCTAAAGAGGTATGTCGTGTGCCCCCTCCCTTCGTCCCTTTGAGTTGCAAGGGTTTTGTTGGACCTGGAAGATTTATCGTATGTCTCCTTTCTTCGTGCTTGTAGGGCGTGGGGAGCGTCTAGATGATTATCATATATGATTTGCTTCCGTGCTCGTATTATGAGGGGCTAGTGACTGCCCTAGAGGTTTGTTTTATGTCTCCCTGCTTCGTGTTCATGTCATTTGCTAGGGTCCTGGAGATTTGTCGTATGTCATTTTACCATATACGAAATTAGATACAATCCCTTCGTCCCTTCGTGTTGTAAGGGTTTCGTGAGGGTCCTAGAGGTTTGTCGTATGTGCCCTTCCTTCGTCCCTTCTTGTTGTAAGGGTTTTGTGAGGGCCCTGCAAATTTGCCGTATGTCCCTTTCTTCGTGCTTGTAGGATTTGGGCAGCGTCTAGATGATTGTCATTATCATTTGCTTCCGTGCTCGTACTATGAGGCGCTAGTAACTGCCCTAGACCTTCAGGGCCCTCACAAAACCCTTACAACACGAAGGGACGAAGGGAGACGACATACGACAAACCTCTATCATCTAGATGCTCCCCAAACCCTACAAGCAAGAAGAAAGGGGACATACGACAAACCTCCAGGGCCCTCACAGAACCCTTACAATAGGAAGGAATGAAGGGAGGCGACACACTACAAACCTTTAGGCCCCTACCAAATCACAGGATCACGAAGCGGGGGCGTCATCTGACAAACCTCCAGGCCAATCACTAGCCCCTCATAATACGAGCACGGAAGCACATGATATGTGATTATCATCTACACACTCCCCAGACCCTACAAGCACGAACAAAGGGGACATACGACAAACCTCCAGGACCCTCCCAAAACCCTTACAACACGAAGGGACGAAGGGAGGGGACACACGACAAACCTTTAGCCCCCTACCAAATCACAGGAACACGAAGCGGGGGGACAGACGACAAACCTCTAGGGCAGGCACTAGCCCTCATAATACGAGCACGGAAACACATCATATATGATAATCATTTTGATGCTCCCCCAAAACCTATAAGAACGAGAAAGGGGAAGCACACAAACCTCCAAAGCCCTTACAAAACCCTTACAACACGAAGGGACGAAGGGAGGGGACATACGACTAACCTCTGGCCCCTACCAAGTCACAGGAAACACGAAGCGAGGGTGCTTGCCTAAGTCTGGCTGTTGGCCGGCTGGATCTACATTTACTGCTACTACTACTACTGCTACTACTACTACTACTACTACTACTACTACTCCTACTACTACTACTACTACTCCTACTACTCCTACTACTACTACTACTACTACTACTACTACTACTACCACTACTACTTTCAAGAAGTTTTGTAAATAGTAAACAAAGGGGCGTGCCAAATAGACCCTAAAGGTCCATGCCACATAGTCCTATATAGCTACGTCATTATGATACAAAATTCTTATATTAATATATGACTACATATCAAAAAGTAAGGTGTGCAGCCAGAAGACAGACTTAGTATCCCGGAGAGAAGAAGCCGGGGTCACATGTGGGCTGCAGGCTGCGTGACATCAGTGGCGTCATTCAGGCTCTGCCACTCGCTGGCAGAGATCGGGTACACCTCTTTTTTCAGTGTGGCACGTGCCCTGGGATCCTGGATCCTGCCACCTCTCAAACCATAGGGAGGGTTTTCGAGCCCTGTGATCTTTGGGGCCTTGAAGGTGAACTGCTGAACTAGCTCCCCCCACCCCCGCCCGCCCGACGTGCATACGGTGGTTTCCGAAGTTGGGGGGGGTACCCTAGTGGGGTCCTTGTTAGAGGGGAAGCCTACTAGTGGGGGGTTATTTTAGGGGTCCCCTCTTTTCGTAATCCCCCATATGGCATCCCCCATATGGTATTGTGGGTGTAGCATGTTAACCCTAAACCCTAAACCCTAAACCCTAAACCCTAAACCCTAAACCCTAAACCCTAAACCGTTGTCCTTCTGTGTGTCTGTGTGCGAAGCCAAACATTCAAACGTCCGCGAGGCGGCGCTTGGTCGAGCTGGACCAGATGGGGCGCGTGAAGCGTCAAATTCTGGGCATGGTCACGCAGGCACCTTGATGTTGTGGATGAGGGTTTAGGGTTTAGGGTTTAGGGTTTAGGGTTTAGGGTTTGGGTTTAGGGTAGAGGGCATGTTGGGCCTTAAGTTGCTACCTGTTGCGGCTCCCCATCTTTTTTTTGTGTAGCATTCCCTGTTTCTCTTGTTTCGACTGTGTCTGCTGCTAAACCCTAAACCCTAAACCCTAAACCCTAGCCCCGTGCCATTGACAGGCTGTTGTGAATGACATGCCGGACCTGTATGAGGGCCGCAGTGGCAGGCCGACAGATCCTACTACCCTCCCTGTAGTCTTTTTACGGCTTAGGGTTTAGGCTACTACCCCCCCCCCCCCTACTAGGTTCCGCCCATAATTAACTCTATTTAGGGAATAAGCCGAATGGGGGGGGGGGGGGGAACCTAGGGGGGGTTTAGTACAGAGGGCGTAGTAGGAAGTCCTATAAGACAAGGGTTACGGCAACGGTCACACGTCCCAATTGCAGTGGGCTTTGGTGTTCCATTTGTTCCATGCACGGCACAAGATTTGAAGCATGTTCCTGAACTATTGTTACCGACTGTAGCTATTATTGTTGCTGGTGTAGTCTGAACCATAGTGGCTGGCAATTGTTGCTGTTTTTGTTGCTGGTGTGGCGCACGAAGTATTTGCTGTGTACACTTTTGGGCTTTTCATACATCGAGTTAATTAATAATGAGAGATCGGCAACGCGAACGATTTGTGCCCGAACGCGTCGACTCACAACGGCGCAAAACCTGCAACCAGAAGTCCCCAAACCACTCCCCTCAAGGCATAAGAACTCTTACCTCTAAGGTTGTACCCCTAATAGTTCCCCTTAACATACTCCTCACATGGGCCCTTATACTTACTTAAGGATCCTCAAGAAGGGTCCCCAAAACCCAAGGGTACAATCCTAAAGGCGAACCAGAAGCCCCCTAAACCCTAAACCCTAGACCCCTGCCCAGGAGCTGCATGAGGCAGCTCCTCGACTTCTACAAGTTTGCAACCGACCACACAGCATCGCGACATGACTTCTGGAGCGCCTTGGGTCCGAATAATGTAGGGGTTTAGGGTTTAGGGTTTAGGGTTTAGGGTTTAGGGTTTAGGGTTTAGGGTTTAGTCCCATAATTCCACTACAATAACACCCAAAACCTTATTGTAATTATTCAGGCCCTTAGAGCCACGAACCCCCCGCTGCAGTGCCAATCTGGTGGCAGGGGGCCTTGCATCAGTAGAGAATATACGGCAAAGTACTTAATGTCTTCAGAAGCAATAGTTGTATAACAAAATACATATGTATACATATATATATATATACAGTATGGCCTAGTATGTTCTCTACGCATGTTCAGAGGGCGCAAGAAGGGTTTGGGCCGCGTCCTCCAAGCTTTGCTCACAGAGGACTCTGGGGTTCGGGAGAGCCCCTTAAGTGGACCCTGCAGGCTTCTACGCGCACCTCCAGGACAAAGCTCTGCGGGTTTTAGGGTTTTTTGGGTTCAAAAGGGTTTAGTTTAGGGTTTAGGGTGTGCTTAACGTGTGCTCCGGGGCGTGCCCACCTACAGTTGACCAGAGTTGCATCCAGGATTCCTGTTTTAGGGGGACTGGGTCCCAAGCCGTACGTCACCACTTGGACCCAGGCCATCGCAAAACCCCTGGAACCCGATCCCATCCCCCCAAAAAAAGCCCTAAACCCTAAACCCTAAAAACCCTAAACACCCTAAACCCTAAACCCTAAAACGGAGCGGGCGCTGGATGTGCGTGCAGTGCGGGTGGCGAAACCCTAAACCCGAAGAACCTCGAGATCTCCTCCCCGAGAAGGAGGCTGCCGGGGATGACTCTGGGGCCTTGGACAGCCGGCTCCGACAGAACCGGGCCTTGCAGGTCTGTGCTTTCTGGAGTTTTATGGGGTGTAGGGTTTGGGGTTTAGGGTTTAGGGTTTAGGGTTTGGGGTTTAGGGTTTAGGGTGAGGGACTCTGAGCTTCGAAAGGAGTTGGGTTTGCAGGGCGTAGAGGGTTTAGACTTGGAATCTGTGCAATGCAAGAGGCATGGGTTAAAGAATGCCAGGTTAGACGACATGATGCTTCCGAGTTCCGACGGCTTGCGATTATGGTTCATCTATGACGAAGAGTTCGTGAAACACCATGTGTTAATCAGATCGATGATATACAATAAAAGAGTGTTCGGCACTGCAGAGCAAGACTCCAAGGGCAAGACCCTAAACCCTCTACCCTCACTAAGCCCTAAACCCAAATCAGCGACCACGGTTCTGCATGACGAGCAGGTGCAAGGGACCGAAACGGGAGCACCACTTGGACACCACGAAATGCACGTCCCTTCGAAGGGACAAAAGAAGCAAACAAATCACCCACGAGCCCCCACCGGCAAGACAAGCACATCACCACCACATTGTACAGCCCCACACGTGCACAGGACCTGCTGGTGGAAGCAGAATTTGGGCCATGAAAAGCACACGGGGATGTAGGCGAGCGCTGTTTGACTTGTCACATTGGGTGATGTAGAAGCCTCTGGATTTTAATAAATCGAGAACAGCCACCCTCGAATCCCCGCAAACAAGCCCATGCCTAGGCGAGAGCACGATTTGGACCCAAACCGCTGCGCTAGGCTAGGGCCACCTAGTCCTCCTGACTTCCAGCGTTTTTCCACCCCTAGTGGCCCTAGTGCTGCAAGGCTTGGTGGGGAAGCATGTATTTGGCCCATCAGCGCACAATGCTAATGTATCTGTGAAACTTGTATATGTGTGTGGAGACATGGCAAAGGGAGAGGTTCCGAGGTGTGCAGGCTAGATTGAAAAGTTTGCAGGAAAAGTGGGTGTGATCTTTCACCTCGGCTTTGCAAGCTAGATGTGCCAATGCCTAGGCCCAAGACCCCAAATCCTAAATCCTCAATGGCCGTAAACCCGCATGTCAGGCGCGGCTCTGGGCCACGAGCTGAGAATTCCTGCTGCTGATAAGGGACTTGGGCCATTCAGGGCTTGTTCCTGTTTCACGGTAAGGAACCGGATAGTTCAGAATGAACAAGCACAGCACCCACTGACAGAGGGGGATGGAAGAAGCGACAGCAGACACCAAGGATGAGAACGACCCGGAGATCTTCAGCGAGTACCTCCAGGAAGCTGAACAGTGGCGCTTGCTGGGTTTATTCGGGCGCTGTTTCCCCCAAGCATGTCAGCAACACAGACTTCCAACGTGCATAAGACGGGCCAGGTCGGTAGAACCGGACCAGGGGTTTCCTTGAGGCCTGCTCGCATTTTGTCAATCACGCTCTCGCCTGGCACTGGGGTGGCCGCGCTCGCCGTCCTCGAGACTCGCTTTTGGACGTCTGGGCTCGGAGTCTCGTGACTGTCGCCACTGTTGGACGTTTGGGTTCGCGAAATGCGAAATTGTCTTTGCTATCGGGACGTTCACGAAGTGCGAAACTGGTGTTGCTTTTTGGTCGTCGTTGCTTTTGGAGAGGCCTTGGTGTCTTTTGCATGTGCTCTTGGACCATTGGAGTACTCTTTCGTGTCCCAATGTCTTACTGTTCGGGATCTACGCTTTCATAGTCTTTGCGAGCCAAAGGTAGGATGCAGTGTGGTTCGCCCATCTACTCGTAACGCTAGTCAGGAGGCAAGAAAGACGGCTGCAAATTGCCAGTTCTGGTGTGGGATCCGTGTGTGGATAGCGAAGGACCTGCTCGAGTGCTTGGACATCATTGACAGCACGTTGGATGACCCAGCAACAAAGGACGCATCCAAGGCCGTGCATCCCGACACAGCGTCCGTGTCGCAGAGTCGCGGGGATTGCCTGCAGGTTACTAATTTTCGAACATATACGGGATGACATCACCGACCTGAAAAACAATACAGCCGTCTCTCAGCCCAACCCGTCCATTCTGCCGCCAGGCGCAGGTCCAGCCCTTTGTGTACCTGGCGCGGGATGCGGCAAAGCGATTAGCCGCGAAGCTGGAAGTGACGGTTCAGGAGACCCAAGTTCGTACACAGAGGTCAAAGGCTCTTTTGGACCCATCGACATGCAACCTCTGCTGGAGATTTGTGAGGTATAAGGTGGCTAGAGGTATAGGCTTTAGATGTGGAGCCATCTCGCCTCAAACCCCAGCCCCAAACACGCCCCAACAACCCTGAACTAAGTCCCGAAAGCCCCGAAGCCACGGGAGGAGCCCCCATGGAAGCCTGCTGTCGCCAAGCTCCAGAGCATGGCGAGCAAGGCAGACGGGCGCTTGGCCAAGCTCGCACCCCACCTGCACTTAGATGCAGGGGATTATAGGGTTCCGGGATCTTAGGTTTCACGGTTTAGGGTTTAGGGTTTAATTAGGGTTTAGGATGAGGCAGGACTGGTGATGGAATTGCCGCGCATGACCTCCTTGAGAAGACAAGTTATACTCACCACCCAGGCAAAGAATAAGTAATGCCAAGAGGATGCCAAGTACACATCGAAGATATCTAAGGAAAGATGAGCCCTCGCCTGCCAGCACTTGGCAAAAGCGCGTTGCGACGTTGTGGGCCAGCTTTCAGAGTTGTTGCCCACAGAGAGTAGATGAGACCTCGTTAGGGTTTGGGGGGGCCCTAAACCCTAAACCCTCAACCCTCAACCCTAAATCCCAAACCCTAAACGGTTAGGATTTAGGGTTTCGGATTATCGGGTATCAAATTTCGCTGGGACTTGGAACGGCACTTATGAGGCGTGGTATGGCGTGGTAAAGTTCGGTTCAAACCACGATGATACTCTTCAGATCGGAGCAATTCCTCACCGTGGAGAGGCATACTTGGAGGTTCCTGGGTGGTTATAAGTAGGGTTCTAAGTACCCTAAGCAGGGTTCTAAGCAGAGTTACCACACTTGTATGACCCTACTTAGAACTACCCATGAACCTCCAAGCAGCTTCAGCCATCGAAGGCTCCAGGTTGGACGTCCACAAGTGTTCGACCTGATCAACGAAGCAAAGCCAGACCATTGCTCCTAAGCACACTCAATGAAACAGAACCGTAATTTAATTACTTCCCTAAACCCTAAACGGCCCTAAACCCTAAACCCTAAACCCTAAACCCTAAACCCTCATAAGCCTAAGGCTTAACACGAAAACGACCTAAACCAGACTTCCACAAGCTCGTAGATGTTGCGTGCCCGGCATGCACGGCAATGATGGCCATCTGCCTCATCGCAGGTCATGCTTGAGGCCTGGGCTTCCTGGGTAGGTTTAGGGTTTAGGGTTTAGGGTTTAGGGTTTAGGGTTTAGGGTTTAGGGTTTAGGGTTTTGTAGTACTATGATGGAAGTAGGTACCCCAAAACCCTATTTAGTATGGTTTCTGGTACCTGATTCCAGAAGAGTACGCCAAATGGACCCTGTGACAAAAAACCCTTAACAGGGAAACCTTGTGGCTCTCTTAAACAGGGACCTTTTCTTCAGAGGGTCTATATCCCCAAGGGTCCCCCGCATCCTATCCCCTAGGGCTGGGTGCAACCGTGCTGTAACACGCGCTGGGGACATGGCTCCAGCGAAGCCTCCACTTTCGAGAACAACCCATCAAACCCAACACCTTGCATGACCGTCCCTAAACCCTAAACACCCTCTCTGATGAGGGAAGCGTTTCGCTCAGCCTGGCTGGCACTGGGTCCTGTGGATTCGCACAGGGGCTCGATACACCCGAACCTTGGTGGCACAGCATCCTAAACGCTCAGCCCTAACCCTCTACCCTAAGCCACACGGGCGGTTGATCGAATGTATGCCTTGGTTTTTGCCTTTGTCATCAAAGGAAGCTTTAACGACACGAACAGTTTGACACGGGGAGGAAGTGAGCATTGTGCGATCCTTTGCGTGCTCGACTATAATGTGGCCCTCCGAACGTAAAGAAACTCCCCGCGAATCTTAAGCCAATCTTTTTTGGGGTGTTCCTGCACCTGAGCCCCAACACCCACACACTGAAGCCCAAACCCGCACTACAGCAACCATCACAACAACACAAACACCTTACCCTAAGGGTCCATGTACCTAATGGGATTACTTCCTATACAAGGACTTTTGGGCCCAAGTATATAATTATAAGGTACATGGACCCTTAGGGTTTTTTTCTGCCCCCCAAGGTGAAGGTGGACAAGGCTAATCAGGTGTGGTGTCCTTGTTATCTCGCCTTTGCAGCTGAGATGCTGCCCCTGACCCTAAACCCTAAACCCTAAACCTTAAACCCTAAACCCTAAACCCCAAACCCTTATGCACAAATAGCCGCTCCTATTCAGTCTTGTTAGGCACCCAGAGTTTGGAGGTTCTATGTACCTCATCATCATGTACTTGGACCCAAAAGTCTCCAAGCAGGAGGTACTTCAGGGCCAAACCCTAAACCCTAAACCCTAAACCCTAAACCCTAAACCCCCAAGTATTCCCTCTTTAGGGCTGCAATGTGGCTGGTCTGCTTGGCACGTCAAAAAACCCATGTAGCGCCTGAACCCCGCCATCCAGGAGAACCACATCGCCCCTGTTACGAAACTGTCCTTAATTGCGGGATATGAGAGTCTTTTTTTTATGGAGAGCCGGCCCAACACCCTCCTAAGCCCATCCGCTATAGTAAACATACCGGACAGTCCCTGATGTGTGGTTCCTTCAGCTCTGCGGGTGGCAACAAGTGTAGCTTGCATAGCTTCAACCCCAGAAGCCGCAAAAAACCCAAGCAAAACCCCTGCGCCCAGGGGACGCCCAGCAGAGAGCCGGGAGATGCCATCAAAGTATGTGTTCGGGTACGCCCCCTCAGCAGCTCAGAAGCAGGTTGGGATGCCCCCCCCCCTTTTCAAACAGCCCCTTTTTGTAAAGGATTTCTAGCCCCCCCCTACTAAAATCACTACTAAGGACTGTTGTTAGAAAAGGGGGGAACAGAAGGTTTATGCTGTAAAGGATTTGGGGAGGTGCCTAACTGGACAAGCCTGGTACCGATGCCTAGCCCCCTCCTGTCCTCAAGAACCTATCATTAGCTCAACGCAGGGGCGTTACCCTAAACCCTAAACCTCAAGAATTCCACGACTTTACGAGCGGGTCCTAGAATAAGGGTTCCGTCTCAAAGGCTTCCCACCTCATTAAGGGGACGCTGCTTTCGAGCAACCCCCACAGAGGGTTCCGGGCCGTGGGCTTCAGATCGCCAGTAATTCCCTCCTCCAAAACCAGCCCTGCACCCGGCAATCAACCCAAAACCCACATGACATGAAGCCCTCAACCTCCACTCGGACCCTCCCTGACTGGCGGCCAAGCCTTGAACCCTGAGGCAAGTCAGAGCTTCTCAGCGTTCAATTCAGCGTGGTGTTACGCAGTTTCGCTGCTGCTTTTGCGCCCTGTGATTGTTTGAGGGTTTTTTTAGGGTTTAGGGTTTGGGGTGCAGATGCTTTTAAAAGGTGAGGCTTGTTGTTGGGTTTTTGTGGCTTTGAGAGCGAGTCTCATGGCCCCCCATGGCCACCCCATGGCCCCATGGTCTGCCATCGAGTGCACCGTCGCTCGCTTGTGCTTGTGCTTGGAGGTTCATGGTGCTTATGAGCCAATGATAACTGTACTTGTAACTGTGCTTATTACCATATTAGGGCACCTCGGGGGTTGTAAGTGGGTTATAAGTACAGTTATAATTGGTTAAGTACCATGAACCTTCGAGTAGGGGTCGTGTCGTTTCTCCAGGCTGGCTTGAGAAGGCCTTGCGCCATTTTTCTCTGTCTTCCGGGAGCATCGCCTGGAGCAAACAGATGGGGAGTCCTTCCTGCGCACAGCACCCAAAGCAATCACCGCAACTGTCGTAAATTGTTTTGGATTGACCGCTGAGCGCCCTGTTGGGACACATCAGCGGCGTGGTGCCCGCAATGCTTGCCCCCATGACTCCCCCACGACACATCACGGCAAGCGCAGATGTTTGCAAAAGTGCTCGCCAAGGTTTGTTCACAGAACCTTTCGTGCTCATTGTCTGAAATGTGCTTTGTTCAAGCCGCCAGCCAGTAGCTGCCCGACTCTTGTTCCGTAAGCATTGGCCGCCACCATTTGACAACATTCGGCATGCAGTGATCGGGTGGGCCTTTGCATTAGGCATACTAAGTGAGGCACCGTGCGTGGGCTGACTGGTCCATAGAGGGACAGGGGCAGGTCCGCCTCCTCGTTTGTATTATGTAGATACGAGGCGAGGCGGTGTTTCGCAAGGTTCAGGCACAACGTGTGCTCGTGCGCGTGAGAGCGCATCTGCGTCTGCATCTGCCTGGCAGCTGTCTCTACCTTCGAGCGCCTGCGCCAAACCCTAAACCTAAACCCTGTGAGGTTAGACAATGGCGAGAAGATGCAGCTCGGCTGTTTGCAGTCGGTGGCCCGTTCTTACAAAAACACCGCATCTGCTGGGACGAGAAGTGTGGGACTCCTAGGGTACAATGTGCGCCTGTATGTCGAGCCAAAATAAATATACATATAGAACATGTATATGTGTATGTATATATGTATATATATATATATATATATATTTTTTTTCTTATTTATATCTATTTGTTGTTTACTCAGTTATGTTTATTTACTCCCTATTTATGTGTATATATGTGTTGTATTTATTACAAAAGCACCTAGTGCAGAATCATATTCCCCCTCATACTACCAGTCCTTAAAAGGAATCGTAAATTTAATAGGGAGGACTAGAATCCCGATTTAAGGCTGTTATTATATGGTTTGCACCCTAAACCCTAAACCCTAAACCCTAAACCCTAAACCCTAACATCCCCAAAAATATGGCCTTTGCAAAGCTGTTGCTGATAGGGCTTTGTCTGCTTAGTCTTGTTCATCTGCACTGGTGCTGTCGTGGAGCGATGGTGGAGTCACACTCCCGTCTCAGGCATTCGCATAGCGCGTGTTCAAAAGCTAAACCCTAAACCCTAAATTGCGCTTGCAAAGGTGTGTGCGGATCCTGCCGGAGATGCCGTACTCGACAACAGCACCTCGGGGCTGCAAGCAAGGGCCCGAAGATGACCCTAACCCCTAACCCCTAACCCCTAACCCCTAACCCCTAAACCCTAAACCCTAAACCCTAAACCCTAAACCCTAAACCCTAAACCTTAAACCCTAAACCCTAAACCCTAAACCCTAAACCCTAAACCCTAAACCCTAAACCCTAAACCCTAAACCCGAGCCAGGGCTGGGTTTCAAGGAGTTTGAGAGGTTGGGATGTTCCCCCCCCCCCCCCCCCCCCTTGTACTAACAGCTCTTTAGTAGGGAGTATGGTACCACCTCCCCTTTTATAATCCCTATTGAGGACTGTTAGTATCAGGGGAATATCCCAAGCTTCAAGGAAAGCATGACAACCATGAAGCCTAGATTTTCATGACGACCTGTGACTCCCAAAAAACCCTACAAATTGGTAGGCTACAACCCCCTAAGCATAGGGTGTCACTCCCCAAAATTGTGGGTAACCCTAAGCCCTAACCCCACGCAACTTAGGGTACAGCCCCCAGAAATAGTAACCCTAAACCCGAAATCCTAAACCCCAAGCCCCAAACCCTAAACCCTAAACCCTGAACCTTAAATAACGAGGTCAATTTGACAAATCCTGCGGACACCGGCCCTGCCGGAACGAGGGCGTTCTCCTTCGACCGGGCCTATTGGCGGCCAGCCCGCAGTCCAGAGCAAGGGTTCAGGGTTTAGGGTTATAGGGTTTTAGGGCTTTAGGGTTTAGGGTTACAGAGTCTGGGTTCAAAAAAGGGTTATAGGGTTATCGGGTTACAGGGGTATAGGGTTTAATTAGTGATAGTAAACGGTTTCTGAGAAAGCCCTCCAATCTTGTCAGCGGGAGTTGTGGCGAAACAGCTTCTATGATCTCTGCAGAACCTTCTTATCATATCAGTCTCTTCAGCCATTTGAGCCTTGTGGTTCTGGTTCAGGTCTGCCAAAGATGCAGATTCCCACTATGTGTCCCAGGCCAAGGGAAGTGGTTCACAGGTTGGGGTTGAGAAGGTCTGGCGCTGGCAGGAACACCTCATGGATGATTTGGGCCACGAGCTGCGCAGCAACGTGCCACGTGACTGCAGGTACAAGAGAGAAATGCCTGTAGTGGATATGTACTGGAACCTGAGTACCTTGCAAGCCCGGGCACTGGCGGAGTGTTACCCGGGGAGTGGGTTTCTTCTTCCCTAAGCCGCAGAAGAAGAGAGAGGGAGGAGACCAGATTGGATGGTGCATGTGTTGGTGCAAAAAAGGCTGGATGGCTACAACAGCTGCCTCTTTGCTTACGGTCAAACTGGTCTGGGCCTAAGCTCGGCTAAAGGCGCACAGAACAGAAAGCCACAGCAGTGAACAATAGCACCACCCTCCCATAATCCCGACATAAGTGTATCATAGTGTAGCATAAAGTGCTGCGTATCAAATTGCAAACTCCAGTCCAATAGGCCCCTAGATCACATCGATGGCGTCTGCATGGCACACGTGGCGGCGTCTCACCGAATTCTGTTGTGCTCAGCTGTTTACCGGCATCTGGTTTCCTTACTTGCTGCGATGCTCAACGTACCCCAGTACTATGATGGAATTCGGTACCCCAAAACCCTGTTTAGTATGTTTTCTGGGTACCTAGCTCCATAATCGTACACCAACATGGACCCTCCCAAGCCCCCAGTGTTCGCGTGGCTGCTGGGCGGGTGGCAACCAAAAAGTCCCAAAAGGCCTTAAAAATTCAGAATAGGCTTTTGGGCGGTCATCATGTTATCATTATACAGGGACCCTCAGAGGGAATAATACCCTATAAGGGAATAATATTTCCTAGGTAGGATAAGGGGGACCCTTAAAAGGGAACCCTTCTGAACCCTCTTCTGGCTCTCTGAACCAGGGGCCGTATTCAGAGGGTCTATATCCCCAAGGGTCCCCCGAATCCTATCCCCTAATATTAGTAATTATTCCGACCCCTATATGTCAGGCAGCGGGAAGACATACAGCGTGCTGGGCAGCGAGACGCCCCCAGAAAGCCGGGGGCTTCTTCCACGAATCGTGGAGGCTGCCGGGGCTTAAGATGACCCTTAGAAGGAAGGCTACTTTTTTGGGGGAGTTTTTTAAGTAAATAGTCGTTGTTGGTTCAGAGTCTGAGGCTTGAGATCGGGTTAGTTGCTTATTTCAATGGCTCACCTTATGGCCGGGTCACTATAGTAACCTTGCTAGGCACGTGGGATGTTTGTTGAAACATGTTTCCCCTTTTTTGGGGTTTACGAGGCTTATGTTTAGGAATATATTTCAGAAGGTTTTCAGGGCCATCCTAGTAACTTATAGCTTTCCAGCAGGATATCCGGGGAAGACATGTTTTGTGTCCTCTGAGAGTTTTCGCTTTCTGAGAACTTGACACTTCAGGTCCTTCCTGTCTTTCCTCTCCATGAACCAGGGTTTAGGGTGAAGAATATAGGGTTTTCGGATTTAGGGTTTAGGGCTTAGGCGTTGGGAATGAAGCTGAGGGGTTCCGGGTGTACGTGGATGGGTTCTGGGCTCGACATCGCAAGTGTCACACTTTGGATAAGGTTTTGTGTTGATTCGTCGGACGTGGGCCGGTTTTCACGAAGGAAAGCGAAGCTACCCTGATGTTGATGTATAGTGCTTAATCTGATCTGGCAATCATAGCAACCTGCTTCAGTCTCCTTAGGAAAAATCAGCCTCTTCATACCTTGGGCTCTGCCCAATGATTGCCGAAGAGAACTTGGATAAGTCTTGAAATGCCCTTAACTCTTCGCCCCTAAACCCTAAACCCTGGGAAACATCTCCAGCGAAGACGTCCTACCTGGCAGATGGGCAAAGACGGCTCGCAGATGACGTCTCGCCTAGCTAAAGGGCCAGCAGGGCATGGCCCCATGCGACTTTAGGGTTTAGGGCCCTAAACCCCTAAACCCTAAAACCCCTTTGGGCCTCTTGTGCAGGACATCTTCAAGACCATCGAAGGGGCCCCGAATGAGTTTGCCACGACGATCTCCTACCTGGAGACCGGGGCCCAGCAGGGTTCAGAGGATGCAGGGAGGGGGGGGGGGTCTCTCTCTCTCTCTCTCTCTCTCTCTCTCTCTTTTCTCTTCTTTTTTTTGTTTTCTCTTTATCTTTCTTTCTCTCTTTCTCTTTCTCTCTTTCTCTTTCTCTCTTTCTCTTTCTCTGTCTCTTTCTCTTTCTCTTGCCCTTGCTCTTGCTCTTTCTCTTTCTCTTTCTCTTTCTCTCTCACTATATATTTATATACACACACTCACTCATTATATACATATACATATATAGAGACATCATAATATTACTATGTAATGTTATACCATAGAAAGCAATATACGAATTGTTGTATTGTTGATATGTGCATATGTGCATATATATATATATATATAGCACAAAAAATCGTTGATAACCCGGGGGGTGGTAGCATATGTATGTATATATATATACATATATACATATATACATATATATATATATACACATATACATATATATGTGGAAGAAACTGAGCCCAGGATCTACAACGAGCAGATCCGGGACCTTCTCAGATCCGGCCAAGAGCAGCAGCTGAAGTTGGAGGCGCGCTTGTGGTGTCCGCAAGGAGCTGCTACTGTAGGGTTTAGGGTTTAGGGTTTAGGGTTTAGGGTTTAGGGGTTGTTGGCATGGGCCCAAAGATGTTGATGCAGGTGCGCGCGAACCCCAAGTATGGGAACTTCGTGCGGCTCGGCCATCGATTTGAGGTCATAGCCAACACCCTTGCAAACCCTAAACCCTAAGCCCAAAAACTCTAAAACCCCAAAATGAAAGCTAACTAGCAAGTATCCGCATTCAGGATTGAGGGGACAAGCCCAGGAATGACTCTACGTGCTTTCGGGTCGCCTATTTCTGACACAAGCCCCAAACCCTATAGCACTAAATTAAACCCTCAGCCTTGAACTCTTCATTGGGTTTAAGAGGATTGTTGTTGAGGACTACTTTCCGAGGGTTCTAAGGGCCAACTTCGCCGGAATTCAGGCAGTTCTTCCTGAAATTGCAACTTTTGAACGCCCCTATTGTTTTTTATGGAGCGTCGGGGGTTTACGTGGCCATCCCCCAAAGTGCAACAGTGTGGAGGGTTTAGGGTTGGGATGTCCCCCTTATACTAACAGTCCTTGGTAGGGATTATCGTACCCCCTATTCGAATCCCTAATGAGGGCTGTTAGTCCCTAAACCCTAAACCCTAAACCCTAGACCCTAAACCCTAAACCTCGTCCAGGTTCGGGCTAAAGGAGGTGCCCGTCATGGCAACTTGGCGCGTCTTTTACATGACCAGTTCCTTCAAGGGCCGGGGAAACCGAAGGACTTGGCCGCATGCGTACCGGGGGCGTAGAATGGGTCCCCAAAATGTGTAGGGTTTAGGGTCTAGGGTCTAGGGTCTAGGGTCTAGGGTTTAGGCGTGCTTGAGCCTGCTGGTGCTTCTCGGGTCTGCATTGCATTGACTTTTGGATTCTTGCTAGCCTTTCAGTCCATACAGAGGGATGGGCCTTCGGTTCGGGCATGAGGCTCCGTCTGTCTTGGGCACGCTTCAAGGCTTAAGGTTGGGTTAGGGTTTAGGGTTTAGGGTTTAGGGGTTTATAGGTTGAGCTGGGGTTTTGTATGCAGTTTCCCTGGAGTTGGCTGCCTTCCTGTTGCAGAGATTGCTTGTTCAGGTGCAGGGAAGCAAGTAGGCGGTTGGAAAAGGGAGGTTTCAGGGCTTGATTGGGGTTCGTCCTTGTCTACCTGCACTTCTAGGTTCATGGGAGTCCCTGAACCGCTATGTGCTTAAGAACCCCTCCAAACACAGAAGATAATAATCTGTATTGCTCTTATAAAGAACGATTTTGCGTTTTGTTTTTTTTTGGGGGGGGTTCTTCATGAAGTAGCAGTGAAGAGTTTAGTGTTTATAGGGCTCTGTAAGGACTGGCAGAACCTCAAGCGCTGGCTCGATTTCGGCGTGAAGGCCAGAGCAGTGGCCCACACCTCCATGAACGCGCCTTGCGCGGCAGAGCATCAGGGTTTAGGGCTTAGGGTTTAGGATTTAGGGTTTAGGGTTTGCTTCGTGACTAGGAAGCTCCAGGATCCACGCAACGCCCGGCGGGTTTGCCTTTCAACTTACCTTCCAAACCTGCGGCGCGACCTTTGTTTTTCTTATAAGAACATGCCAACTCGACGCCATGATCTGTAGAACTGACCACATGCCTGTTCATTTTTTTCTTGTTCCTTTTGGTGAAGACCTGGTTTCCCTAAACCCTAGACCCTAAACCCTAAACCCTAGACCTGTTCCGTTTGGTGAAGACCTGGTTTCCTGAATGTTGTGTCGATCTCAGGCTACCTCCAGCCGTTCCCACTGCATCTTCAGCATGGAGGCCGCAAAAAGGGTGGGTTTATGGTTTAGGGGCTTATAGGGGTTAGGGTTTATGGCCTGGTCCTCGCCTATCGCAGGATTTGAAGCGATTGCAAAGGGCTTGGTTTGTGAAGAGAGCGATGCCCCGGTATCATGAAGCGAACGAGACCCAGAACCACCTGCCCTTGCGTGTTCAGGGCTTAGGTTGATGGGAACCTTCTAAGCCCTAAAGGCAACAGAGCACTTGGAGGTTCATGGTACTTATGAACCAATTACAGGCGTACTTTTTCACTGTACTCACAGCCATATTAGGGCCACTTAAGGCTTGCAAGGGGCGTATGCATGGGCTTAGGGTTTAGGGTTTAGGGTTTAGGGTTTAGGGTTTAGGGTTTAGGGCGTGCCAGACGGGAGCGCGCTTTGGGAGCGCGCGGTAGTCTGCAGACCTACCCACCCCAAGACCGCCCGCTTACAACTCTCAAGGAGTTAAGACCTTTTATTTTTTTACAAAGCATCACATGAGTCAGCACTCACACCCTTTTGGGGATTTCCACAAGGTGCGTGGACCAGGCGCCAAGCTGCAGGGCGGGGTCCGTGAAGACAGCTTGGGTTGGCGCGAAGGGGCTAAGGGATGGGCCAGGAACAGAGAAAGGCAGCGAGGCTTGGTTGGCGCGAAGGGGCTCCAGCCAGGAAGAACACACAGTGAACAGCTTGGGCTAACCAAAAAAACCACGAAAACAGGGCTGGTAGCTTGGCTTGGCGCGAACGGGGTAAGGTGGGGTGCCGAACCAGGGTCAGGACCAGGCACACAGTTGCAGCAAACGGAAGCGAGGGGCAGGACAGATTGGGTTGGTGCGAAGGGGCTAAAGCCAGAGGAAGAGCCCCGAAACAGGACCCGAAACAGGACACAAACTGGTGTGCGGACAGCTTGGCTTGACCCAGGGCCAGGGCCAGGGCCAGGGCCAGCACCAGGACCAGAGCAGGGCAGGGCCAGGGCCACAGCCAGGGCCAGGGCCCTGGCCCTGGCCCTGGCCCTGGCCCAGGGCCAAGGGCCAGGGCCAGGGCCAGAACATCAGGACCAGAACAGTTTTTGGCCAAGAACCCTAACAAAACGGCCCCTCATCCCCTCAGCCGGCCAGGGGGGTCTCAAGGGGCCGTCCCAGGGGGCCCTCCAATGCAGGACCCAACCAGGTGCGCGGACAGCTTGGGGTTTAGGGTAATATAATATAATACAGTGACAACTGCTGACTCGGCCTGTGCCTGCCTGGAGGGTAAGCCAGCCTGGAGGCCAGCTCGGTCGCCCGCCTGGGGCTCCCTCGCAGGGTCTCACTGAGCGCTCGACCAGCGCCCACCTACCCCAAAAGACAAGAGAGTGGGGTGGCGGGCGGGTTTAGGGTTTAGGGTTTAGGGTTTAGGGTTTAGGGTTTAGGGTTTAGGGTTTAGAGTACAGTTATGAGTGGCTAATAAGTACCATGACCCTCCAAGCAATGCAGGTTGTGCACAAGATGCGCTCGGGAGGTGCCCGAACACAGCTCCGTTCCAAGGCACGTCACACGCTTTTTGGGGCGCTTTTAGGGGTTTGAGTTGGGATGTTCCCCCAATATGCTAGCAGCTCCTTCCTAGGGTTTTTTTTTTTTTTTTTTATAGGGGGTACTGTAATCCCTATTGAGGATTGTTAGTATGAGGGGGAACATCCCACGGTATAAAGTTCATTGTGACGAACCCAATGCTGCCACTAGGAGTGGGAAGCAGAGTCCCAGGGATCTTGCTAGAAGCCCGAGATCAAAATCCTCTTCGGACAGAGGCTGACTCCATGTCCAGAAAGGTTTAGGGTTTAGGGTTTAGGGTTTAGGGTTTAGGGTTTAGGGTTTAGGGTTTAGGGTTTAGGGTTTAGGGGTGCAAGATCCTGATCCAGAGCGGGCAACCCCCTTGCCATATCTTGGCTCAAGCCATTTGGCGCATTTGGCGTTGGAGGAAGTGGCAGTGCGGGTTGTGTCCACTGCACCTCTGCACTTTGCAGTTTCGGCAGTGTGGGGAACAGGAGCTTCCCGGCACCAGGGGCGTTTGAAGAAAAATTTTGTGCTCGGGACCTTTGGATGCTGCCGCAGCCTACTTTGTACACATCCATGGCAGGCGTCGCACCTCCTGGGCCTCCAGTTCCCGCCCTCGACCCAAATCTGGAGCAATTCATTCGTCAAGGCTACCTAGTTCTACCACCAGCAGGCAGCCCACAGCTGCACGGCACCATCTACTCGAAAGCCTGGGCCATCAACGCAAAGGGCCCGGAAGAGACGTGGAAGCTTGCAGATGGTGTCCTTGCTGCCATTCCCGAGCTCCAGCAGGTCTTAGAGGTGCCACATGTGCGCCAAGCACTGACCGGCGTTTTGGGCGACGGCTACATGCTGCACGGGCACAGGCATCTGCACGTGAGCTCGGACAACAACCAGATGTGGCACAAGGACTCCTACTGGGGCTTTCGGAAGATCCGGAAGCATCGCCCACGCTGGCTGATGATGCTCTATTACCCGCAGGAGACAACCATTGACATGGGGCCGACCTGCATCATGGCCGGGTCGCAGTACTGGACCAAGAACACGGAGCACAGCGCATATGGAGAAGACATCTTGCTGCCCCACTCGGGCGTACAGAGCATGTTCCTCCCTCCAGGAAGTCCTTCCTTGCAGTCCCGTGCTCTCCAGGAGGCCAAGGCAAACTACCTGAAGCAGGACGCGGGTCTTGTGCAGGACCTGGAGCTCACAGTCCCAGCAGGCACCTGCGTCTTGATGCATTACGACCTCTTCCATCGAGCCAGCTCTCGTCTGCCTGGGAGCCCGGCACCCGAGCGCTTTTTGGTGAAGTTCCAGTTCCTGAGGACGACTGAGCCATGCCCCTCGGCCCACGGAGTCCTCCCCCCTTCGAATCCGGCACCTCATCAGCTGGAGCCGATTCTTGGGGACATCCGCGCTTGGTACTGTGGAATCCAGGCAGATCATCCAGAGCACGGTCAGCACGAATCCTTGCTCTCTGAGCGTGCAAAGGATGCCGAGATCCTCTCCGGAGACTATGGTGAAGTGGAGAAAGTGGCAGCAGCCTACCGCCTGGGCCGAGTGGGTGCACGGCAGCTCCTTGCGCGGGCCCTGACGGCAGAGGACGAAGGGACGGCGCGAGCCGCGGCTTACGGCCTCACAGCCGCCGGGCCATCTGCCACAACCTCCGTGCTGCCCCTGTTGAGCGCCGGCGCCTCGAACCGCGTCCGCCGCCTGGCTGCCTTCGTCGTGGGCGAGACCGCGAAGCCAGAGGTCTCGACCATCGCAACCCTTGGCCGAGCCCTTTCAGAGGAGTCCAGCAATGAGGCCAAGTGCGAACTCTTAGAGGCAATCGGGTTGGTGGGTGCTCGAGCTCGATCCCTTGGACACGATGACCTGTGCAACGCATGCATGTTGGAAGTTCTTCCATTTCTGGAGCAGTCCGGGGCGGCATGGGCCAAGACTCAAACTGGCGAATGCGCGGCCTATGCCATTTTGCTGGCGGCTGGGCTGAAGGGTCAGGTACCGCCGCCGGTCCTCACCAGGCTCGTGAGCGTGGCCACGGCCTCTCATTGCGATCATCTTCTGGCAACTTTTGCCTCAGAGGTGCCTCAGTAGTAGAGTATGTAACCTTTAACCTTTTTGAGGTAATATAACCCCCTTATAATCCCAAAGGTTAACCTTCAGTTCCCCTAAGTACTGGACAACTAAGGTGCTCCGGCGCAGCGGGACGGCATCTCACACTCAGTATGCTCCACCAGGGTCGCAGCCGCCCTCGAGAGAATGGCCACCTGCCAAGCGGACCCAGGTGAGGCCTCCCATATCTCTTGGGAGCTTGGCTGTGAAGGTTGCACCAGCTGCACCGGTTGCACCGAGGAGGCCATCAGAGCCCAAGATAGCCTATGTGGCTTAGCATATTTGAGTAGGTAACCTTTTTAACCTTTTTTTGGGGGGTGCTAGAATCCCTATAGTCCAAAAGGGTTAACCTTGAGTTTTCTACTGGACAACTCAGGTGGTCAGGCGCCCGACGGATCCCTTCGGGCAGGAGTCCAATGTCGGCTGGACCACGCCGGAGATCCGCCTGAGCCCTTGATAGGATCCCTGGAAGAAGTTGCCGCGACGCCTGAGCACTTTGTGGTTTGAGCTGCGGCAGCAGGGCATTGCACCAGAATATTCTCATTCCTTGCATCGGAATGTTCTCATCCTCTTAGAATCTCTCCGTGCGAAGACGGCACCAAAAGCTCGTGGGATACAGTCCACCAACATACAGCACCACGTCTCCCCCCTCCTTTCCTACTGTGTGCTTAAGAACCCCAAAAGACTAAAAAATGATGATCCCTATATTACCCTTAATAAGGAATAACATGTTCTTTTTTCTGGGTTCTTAACCAATTGGTAGGAAACCCTAAACCCTAAACCCTAACTCCTTTCTCCGCTTCCCAGTTGAACTTGGTGGACCTCGCCGGCTCCGAGCGGCAGAAGAAGTCCCAGGCCACAGGCAGCCGGCTAAAGGAGGGCGCCCGGAGCCCAGCGGAGGCGACTTCCTTTCTTTGGTTGGTCTAGGGTTTGTTGTTTGGGGTTTCGGGTTTAGGGTTTAGGGTTCAGCAGTCCTGGGTTAAAAAAAGGGTTTAGGGTTCGCCCTCAGTCCGGCTGCAAAAGGGTTTAGGGTTTAGGGCTGGGTGCAGGGCAAATGCACGGCTTGGGATTCAGTAGAGCCATTCGGGCGCCGGGCAGTTTATGATGTTCATGCACCTGTGTCCCGCCAGATGACCAGACGGCCTGCGTTTTGGGGTATGCGAAGCTTCGGGGCCTGAAGGGTGGTTCGAAAGATTTCTGCACGGCACATACCTCGAAGGAATACCACGCCATCGGGCCCCAGAATCCTACACCCTAAACCCTAAACCCTCAACCCTCAACCCTCAACCCTAACCCCAAAATCTAGAACTGCGACTATCATGTAAGGGTCCTGAGGCCATGATCAACCAGAGCTTATCCAACCTGGCATTGGTCATCAGCATCTTGGCCGAAGTGTTGCGGGTTTAGGGTAGTTTAGGGTTTAGGGTTTAGGGTTTAGGGTTTAGGGTTTAGGGCCCGGCCTCAGGTAAGTCGGGCGACGTGATGATGCACTGTAGAGGTTCGCCACCTCAGGTATTCTCAGCATATGGGTGGGAACTCTAACGTCTGAAAACCTGGAGCTATCCTGCACCAAGCATCCTCAAGATTTGAAACGTTGTGGGGCGTGGCTCAAGAGTCGGGGCTTACCAGGGTTTGCTTACAGCCGCAGCGAGCGAGTGAGTGAGAGAGAGGGAGAGAGCTTGAAAACGGGACTGTGGTACGTTGCGTTGGTTAGGTGGAAACAGCAAGCACATGGGCGAAGAAGAACAAGCAGCGAGAGAGAGAGAGAGAGAGAGAGCGAAAGCGAGAGCACTTCGTCCGGGAGAAGATTGACGAGACATCGTCGCAGAGGAGCTGCGCGCCCAGGAACTCGACAACACCGGCTCCATAGACTGGAAATGCAACAGCACCTGGCAGCAGAACATGTCGGGGTGTGCAGGGTGAGCATGAAATTCGGGAGTTCCCCCGCTCCCCCCCAACGCAGACGTTTGCCATCATGTGCAACGAATCGACAAGAAGCAGAGAGAGAGAGAGAGCGAGAGAGAGGCAGGCGGATCGCGCGGCGCCCTCATGCCCACAAGAAGGCAAGAAAAAGACAGGTAGGGGGAGGGAGGGAGAGAGAGGGAGAATAAGCAGGTGTTACAAGCATTGAGGGCTAGAGACCCCCAACGTCAAAGCGCTAGAAGCAGAGCCCTACGCCCAATGCCCAGGTCGACTTGCCGAGTTTGCAAAGTCCTCCGACAAGAACAAGGTAAGTCAGAATCGTTGCAGCTTTGCCTGTCAGAGCAGGTAACTATAGGTGCCTAGAAGGTATACGATTGGTATGCAGAGCTTAGAAGTGGTGGTGGTTTTGGCGGTTGGTGCCGGTGGTCGTGTTCGCTCTCTTTTTTGATTTGTATGCACCCTGCCGATTGGGCAGGACAAGAAGGCTATTGAGCACGTCCCATTCAGGAGAGGATGCCGTGTTGGCGCTTCTTCACCTCCCAACATCTCCCCCTCCCCCACCCCCCCCCAAACAACCCTGGGAGTGATTCACACCTGAGGTTTGAGCCCTAAACATTGGGATGTTCCCCCTTGTGCTAAGAGTCCTTGATACTGTAGGGCTTATAGTAGGTACTATAGTCACTACTAAGGACTGTTAGTATAAGGTGGTACCATAAGCACTATTAAGGCCTGTTAGTATAAGGGGGAACGTCCCAAGTTCAAAGAATCATGAGTCTTGGAAGAAACCCTAAACCCTGGACCCTAAACCCTAAACCTCCCAGGTTAAAGCCAAAACTGAACAGAATCGACCCTAAAACACACACTGGCCGCCGAAATGCCCACTGACCGCCGGCATGTGCATGATCTAGGGGTCGGAATAATTTGAAACAGTGTTCCCTTAGGGTCCCCGTATAATTATACCATAGGCTCCCCTTATGATAAACCGTATTCTAATTATTCAGGCACCCTATAGTATGTTTGCGCGTGGCGATGTTTTCTTTCGCAGGAGTTCGAAGCTGACTTTCCTGAGTCTCGGTTGCAGTCTGGGCTGGTCCTTCTTTTAGCCACATGGGGGTGGATCGTGGATCGTCGACAAACCTCGGGCTTCGAGCTTAGGATTTTTTCAGGTCGGTGGGACCTAGGAGTTTCAGAGACAGGGAGACGTCAGGCGTCGTGTGCCAGAATCAGATTATCAGTATGGCAGAGGCATCATTCGGATTCATTGCCAGATCCGAGCGTGAACGCCCACCTCCTGGCAACGCTTCCATGCAGACCTTGTAGTGACATTTGGGACGTTCCCCCTTATACTAACTACGAACACTCCTTAATAGCGAAGATAGCACCCCCTATTGCCTATGGAGGACTGTTAGTATAAGGGTGAACATCCCAAAGTGACATCGTTGCTGCAGCCCCGAACCTTTCTAGACTGCACCTCATGAATGCAGTTGCCGGACAAACGCGGACATGACCGAATACGAAGTCATGCTCTTGAACGGTTGGGTGTATGGGCGGATTAACATCGACTCGCCCCGAAACCATGAAATCACACACCGATGCACGGGCCCTTGCTGCTCGAGGTTGGAAGACTCGCTGCGTGGCAATTCCAAGACGGTAAGGGGCACAGATGGTTTCTGGGGAGGTGGTCAAGGAGTCAATTTCCTGAGATCTTCATGACTCATGTCACTCTTGCTGCAGTGACGGTTCCAGTCCTGCTTTCGGGAATTTGGGACACCTGCGTCCAGAGGTGATGATTGCGGCGCTGTCTCCTGCCGAGTTCAATTACGATGAAACCTTGAGCACCCTGCTGCACCTGGGCCAGAAGAAGTTTTGGAGTTCGAAGTTCCGGAGAACGTTGAGGCTGCAAGCTTTCCAGCGTTCTCCGCCTTGCCTGACGCCCAGGTTCGCACAGAGTGTGAAGGCGGGGTGCACGGGTTGTAGGCTTCAAACTTGGCCCGATAGCCACCTGGTAGTTTGGGAATGAACGGGTTGTTCCTGCAACTTAACTCGCGCGGGCCGTGCCGTGTCCTTTAAATATGGCCCTTTAAGGTCAAGACTTGCACCAAACGTAGACTCGCAGACGCTCCCAGCTTTTCCTGCTTTCATTCGTTGCTTCATGACAGGCCGTCAAGACCAATGCAAGGAAGAATGTGAACCTGGAGGCAGCGGGTGGGAAGGTCCATTCTGCGCGCCGCCAGAATGACACACCTTCTAGATCATCTTTCGACTACTACTGTATTTTAAATGTGGAGAACTTGGGTGCCCAGTGTTACTCTTTGCCCTTTTTTTGCTTCTGGTTTCCCTTATAAAGTAACCAACCACAAAAAAGGGTGCCCTTGTTATAACATGATTACTGGGCTACCAAGAGAAACAAGCATATTCTCCATGCCGAGCTTGTAGCCGACCTGACATCTGGGTGTCGGTGAAGACGGCTGTTGAATGCGGTTTCCCGACACCCAGGCAGACATCGGCGTCATGTATTAGAATTATCCCTAAACCCTAAACCCTAAACCCTAAACCCTATAGCTCCAAGCCATGTCTGGGTTAATATACGCATCTATAGACCCCAACGCTGTCCCAGACTGCGTCGGCACCCTTTTAACCCAGGCATCCATCAGCCTGTCTATGAGCCTCGAGACCTTCTCATGTAAGAATGGAGACGGAACAACCTTAAACCCTAAACCCTAAACCCTAAACCCCTCGTTTTTTTCAGGAGAGTCTGGTCCAGGAGCTCGAGGCGGAGTGCGAACGACTGCGCCAGCTCGTGAACTCGGATGCAGGCTCTTGGGAACTCCATGGGTTAGGGAGGTTGCAGTTCCCTACAGTAAACTCCAGAAAGTTGGAACATGGTTTCAGGATGATTAGGGCTGGGATTCTCTAAACCCCGAACCCCGAACCCTAAACCCTAAACCCTAAACCCTAAACCCTAAAGGAAACAACCAGCTCCAAGAGTTGGCGGCGTTGGAGGAGATGCAGAGGCTTTTGGGACAGGGAGGGTTTAGGGTTTAGGGTTTAGGGTTTAGGGAGATTTCCTTAAACACTTGGCAGGCCACTGGTACCCTGTTTTCCCTTTTTTGGGGGTTCAAGGTTCCCCTGCAAAGTCGCCAACCCCCAGAAAAGGGTGCCCTGCTGATAATATGGTTACTGGGCTATCAAGAACACAAACAATTGTGCAAGATAGTACTTGTTTATTTTCAATCTTGTTACAATCATGGTAGTAGTTCTGTTTCGAGTCTTCAAAATCGGACCATGGTCTATTTTTTAGGTCGTTAGTGCTGCTGTTAGGGTTGGAACCTCACAGATACGCCAGAAAAAAAAAAAAAAAAGAAACACACACACACACACACACACACACGGAGTGGAGGGTGGGTTTAGGGTTGTGGGTTTAGGGTTTAGGGTTTAGGGTTTAGGGTTTAGGGACCCAGAAACGGTCTTGAGAAGCCCGGCCCCTCCGCAAGAGGCGGCCTCATCCCCTGCCTTCAGGCAGTATGGGTAGCTATAAGTAGGGTGATAGGCATGGGAGCTAGGGTTTAGGGTTTAGGGTTCAGGGTTTGGGGTTTAGGGTTTAGGGTTTAGGGCTATACTTCGAACCCTTATTGTGATAAACCCTACTTAGAGTACTAGAAGCCCTTATCACCCTGCTCTTTCAGTACTTATGGCCCTTATAGCCCAACTTAGGGTACTTATAGCCCTTACAACCCTACTTAGAGTACTTTAGGGTTTAGGGTTTAGGGTTTAGGGTTTAGGGTTCTTAGGGTTTAGGGTTTATGAACCTCCAATGCACCTCCAAGTGGAGGAAGTACGGGAGAGACTTCCAGGAGCAGCTGCCATCCGGCTGCAGGTGATCAAAGATTCCTCACTTAGTCTAGGGTTTAGGGTTTAGGGTTTAGGGTTTAGGGTTTAGGGTTTAGGGTTTAGGGTTTAGGGTTTAGGGTTAAGGGTTAGGGTTTAGGGTTTATTTTGGGTTTAGGGTTGGACTTGCGGCACGCAGGGGTCGGTAGGGATTGTTGAAGATTTTGTTGGGGGCTTCACAGCCAGCCTTTTTATCAAGCTCCTTTGTGCTCGAAGGGCCCCGCAAAGATGCAACCTTTACTGCGCGCCAGGCCGGAAGAGGAACAAGAACTAAGAGCACCCTAAACCTACTCTTTGCTTAAGAACCCCAAACACAGTGAAGGTACTAATCCCCATGTTGCCCTCCCACCCTAAACCCTAAACCCTAAACCCTAATGTTGAGGGGGAACATCCCAAAGTGCAAGGAAGCTGGCCGAAGACCTGCAGAAGCAGAGGGAGCTGCTCTTGGCAGATGCCGGCCTCACCTCCCTGGAGACCAGAGGGGCCTAGAGGGGCTCTAGGGTTTGGGGTCTAGGGGTTTAGGGTTTAGGGTTTGAGGTTTAGGGTTTAGAAATCTTCGGCTTTCAAAGAGGGTCGCCAGAGTTCAGCGGCAAAATGCGGGTTGAGGGTTCCACTTAGGGTCTGGGACACATGAGTTTGCCAGGCCTTCCAGGGCCCAGGCTTGGCAAGGTTCGGTTCGGGGTTTAGGGTTTTTAGGGTTTTAGGGTTTTTAGTGTTTTTAGGGTTTTTAGGGTTTTTGGGTTTTTAGGGTTTTTAGGGTTTTTAGGGTTTGAGGGTTTTGAGGGTTTCAGGGGGCTTAAAGGGCTTCTAGGGCGTGGTTGGAGGCGCTCGATGAGATATAAAGCCGACACAAGCGTGGAGGAAGGCTAGCGCGCCCTTCCCTGGCAGCAGAGCTGGTTGATTGAACCCGAAAAACTGTTTCTCTGGGCCCACGAGGCTTAGAGGGGGGGGGGGGGGGGGATTTAGTCTATGTGGTTTAGGGTTTAGGGTTTAGGGTTTAGGGTTTAGGGTCTTCAAAAAGAATTGTGTATTCCGGAAGACCTTCAGCCTGGTTGACCCAATGTCGCCTTGCCGCAGGAGCTCACAGCAAGTGTTGGCCTGGATGATCGTACGCCGCATCTCCTCAACGAAGCTTGCCAGCAGCTGATGGAGATTATTTGAGGTGCTACATGGACAGCTCTCTAAGTTGTGGTCCCTTTTTTTAGGGTTCCCTAAATAATAGGGACCCCCTAAAAAGGGGGAGCATCGTTGAGAGAAGTGGCCACACAGACCTGTCATGTGAGCTGCAAAGCCCAAGTTCCAATGCCTGAGCTATGAAACTAAATCGCTGCCCACAGAGGGTTTCCTCTAATGGGCCCCTAGGCTCTCTCAGAGACTCTAAACCCTAAGCCCTAGAGCTTCAGAGCCCCTAAACTTTAAACCCAAAACCCTAAATCTCAGAGACCCAAGCTAAGATCTGCTACGACCCGGAGCTGAACGGCTGCTTGATCTATTTCTTGCAGAAGGGAGCCACTTGGACTACTTTGGGCCACCCCCCCCTTGGCACTGCGACCAGAATCCCCGAACCCCCCCCCCTTTTCCCCCCACACCACAACCAAAAACCATTGCAAAAAGATGGCAAGAAAACCTTTCCAACGCACGCACACACACAGACAAGAGGGGCCGGAAACGTTTCAATAGAGTTCCCTTGGGGTCCCTATATCATAATTAGAGTAGATACCCCCCCAAAAGCCCTATTCTACCTATCGAGGCCCCTAATTAGAATAAATACACCCTTCAAAAACACCTTCTACCGCCCCTAAGAGGTGACCTGTAGCCTGGGAGCCGACGCTTTTCTGCATCTCGGAACGGGGGGGCGGGGGGGGGTTTGGGTTTTGGGTTTTGGGCTTCGACTGCCAGGGAGGGAGATGGGGCTTTAGGGTTTAGGGTTTAGGGTTTAGGGTTTAGGGGTATTGGGGTATTGGGGTATTGGGGTATAGCTTTAGGGTTTCAGCGCCTCTTTGGGATTTTAGGGGGGGCCTTCATGGAGCGGGAGGGGCCCTCTTGCTGGAGCCTTTCCGGACATTTTGCCTTTGCGGGGCGCGTTGAGGATGCGCTTGGCTTGGTCCATCCTTGATTCGCCTAGGGTTTAGGGTTTAGGGTTTAGGGTTCAGGGTTCAGGGTTCAGGGTTCAGGGTTCAGGGCTCAGGGCTCAGGGTTAGGGTTTGAGCTGTGCAACGAAAGCACCCAGGGCCCTGGTACCCTCATCGCGCTCAAGGGCCTGGGCATGCAGCCCAAGATGATCGAGATGCGCCTTGCTTACCCCAGACTCCCTAAACCCTAAACCCTAAACCCTATGGTCTAGATTCTGTGTGCCGCACCCCGGTTGTGGTACCTTTGCTTGATTGTCCAAGGAGTACATTTCCTTTGATCTGCGAACAGCCTCGCACATTCAGGTCCTCTACCAACTTGTTTTCACACACACAAGGGTTCAAGAGAAAGCCAAGGCGAAATGAGGACAACCGTGCCCTGGCTAAATCCTCAACCCTAAGCCCTCAAACCTCGACGAGGTCCAGTCCGAACAAACAGGGTTTAGGGTTTCAGGTTTTCTGGTTTCTCGTGGTTTATGGATTCTTGGGGCTTGCTATCTTCATCTCGAAACGCGACTCGTTGGCAAACTGCACCTGGCGCTAGCTAATGAAAAGAACGAGAAAGGGGGGAGGGTGTGGTGCAAGCACCTTGGCCGAATTCTGAATTCTCACGAGATGCACGTTACCACACCTCTGGAATGTCAATTCCTCAAGCTTCCAAACCCTAAACCTTGAATCAAGGAAAGGTCATGCTCACGTACATTGCGGGCCGCGTGCTTCTGAACGGGCGCCAGCAACACCCCGGCGAGGATTGGGCGTGGGAACGCACACACGCCAAGTAGTCTCGCAAACAAAAACATGACGCAATTCTGACACAATCTATCCCAACCTATATTGTATACATATATAAATTAAATAAATATAAATCCACATATATATATATACACACTTGTACACACACACACACACACACACACACACACACACACACACACACACACACACACACACACACACACACACACACACACACACACACACACACACACACACACACACACACACACACACACACACACACACACACACACACACACACACACACA